ATGAGGAAAAAGAAAGGAACTAGGAAGATGGCGCGCTGTGCGCTACTAAGGAGTGCACTATTGATAGCGAATGTTGGAGTGCTGGAGGTCATATTATACTAGGGCAAACTCTCCCTCCACTTTTTAAACTTCATAACTTCATCTTTCATAAACTAGTTATTACAAGGCAACGGTTATAGCAGATATCCCCGGTTTTCTGAATTTAAAAAAATGACGAAATGCTGTGGAAGCTTATATTTTCATTGAAATCTATGTCATATGCAGAAGTCTGCTGACGCAAAAAGAATCTTACCATAACTTATTTTTGCTGAATATTGTGATCCTAGACACTTCTCTTTAATTTTTATATTGTGTAAATTGGTTGCTCAAAGCAAAGCATCTCTTTAAGCGTAACCCAAGTACATTTTAATGGAGAGAAAGCGTATAGTCGATTGCATGGACCAAGGCACTCTCGGTCTGTCGCAGGCTCAGCTGCGGCGCGGCTGATTTGCGCTGGCGCAGAATTGGAAGCGGCATATCAGTAAGTATTGATTCTGCACCAGTGCCAATTAGCCGCGCTGCCGTTGGACTGAGCGGCTTGGCCGCGTCTTGTTCCGAGTAACTATAGCTAGTGTATCACTTCAAAAAATTACATGATAAAAGCACTCGTTAGAGACATTCTAGCCAAATCTACAATCCACCTTTGTAGTAACCCAATAGCTCTTATTATATGCCTAAGCAAATGAAAAAAGCATGATGACAAGCTGCTCTGCCCACCTTTGACTGGCACCTACAAGTGTCAGCCGTAGGAAAACAAAGCGGGCTGTGATCATGTCAGGGAATATTGTAATCCAGAATACAGCTTGAGGAGAAGAATGAAAACTTTAAGTCGGCACTTCATAAAGCTTCCCCTTTCAAATGAAAGCTGAGTGCTGGAGGAGAACAGAATTTAGAACAGAAAGAAGATGAAAGTCGTACCAGACAACACAAACCTGCCAAACTCCCTGCTCCTTGCGCTTGGCGTTGTTTGAGCGCAAATCCCCTTTTTAGTACTAGGAAATTAATTACAATGCTTTTGATTTCCAATAGAAAGTAATCCTGAAC